CCCAGTCGCTATTACACCCAGTCGCTATTACACCCAGTCAATATTGCATCCAGTCAATATTACATCCAGTTGATATTACATCCAGTCGATATTACATCCAGTCGATATTACACCCAGTCGCTATTACACCCAGTCGCTATTACACCCAGTCAATATTGCATCCAGTCAATATTACATCCAGTTGATATTACATCCAGTCAATATTACATCCAGTCAATATTACATCCAGTCAATATTACATCCAGTCAATATTACATCCAGTCGATATTACATCCAGTCGATATTACACCCAGTCAATATTTCACCGAGTTGATATTACTTCCAGTCAATATTACACCCAATCGATATTACACCCTGTCGATATTACACCCAGTCGATATTACATCCAGTCGATATTACATCCAGTCGATATTACACCCAGTCGATATTACACCCAGTCGATATTACACCCAGTCGATATTACACCCAGTTGATATTACACCCAGTCAATGTTACACCCAGTTAATATTACATCTAGTCGATATAACATCCAGTCGATATTACATCCAGTCGATATTACATCCAGTCGATATTGCATCCAGTCTATATTACACCCAATTACCCCCTGGTAGTATAGTATGCATTGAATAGTACACATCATAATTTTTAAATGCTTGTTTTGAACTGTGAGTACGAGGTGGCCATTTGGATACACAAGTTTAACATTGTTTATGAGTAACATGGCATCTGTTTTAATGTTAATAGTTCATCAAAACGACAAAAGCATTTAAATTCTGCAGCACTGAACATTTTGGGATCTTGAGGAAAGAAAAGATTGGTCGTAATAGAAAACTAAACATTAAGTTATCACTCTTTATTTTTGATAACTAATCAGACCAACCATTGTCATGGTAGTACATGAGTTTCTGTCGGTATCCACAAGATATATTATGGCAAACATCCAAATTTATTTATCGTATAGCGAATTTGGTATGTATGCGTTTGAAGTTTTCATTCAAAAACAAATTATAAAATTGTACAATCATATTGGTGTCAGGAAAACACATTTAATAAATGAAGATATCAAAGTAAACAAAGAGTTAAAGAGTACCATTTGCATATTAATCACAATTTAAACAATATTTATAAAAACCTTGAAGGAATCTTTCAAAAAATATTGAATGGAAGAAATTAATAATGACAACAGAGCAAATCTGAATGCTGTAAAAGTAACTAAGAATATATCTGTAGACTATTTAAAAAAATTATCCACTTAAAAAATTACCTAAACGGTTTAAAAAAATAATGCTGTAACTTGAGTTTCTCACCAGATTCTGGTTAAGTAACCACCACCTAAGAATTGAATGTGGTCGCTATTATAATGTGCCTGTTAAAGACAGGTTTTGTAAACACTGTGATGACAATGAAATTGAGGTTGAACAACATTTCTCAATGTCTTGTACACTTTACCAAATGCAAAGAAAAATGTAATTGTAAATTCTTTTCAATTAAAAATAAATTAGAATTCCTTATGCGCAGCAATGAGATGTCAATACTGCTTGTGCAGCTCATATCAGCATGTATGCAACGCAACACATACATATTTTATTATCGTTTTAAACTTTATTTTGTGTATTTTTTTATTCATCTCAATTGTACATATAACCATTTTCATCCCGTTCGAGGGTTGTTACATGTATATTTTAATAAAAATATACATGTGCACAGTATATGTCAGCACAGCACTGTCAGTCAGCTCAGCAATTAGTTTACAAAGTACTGCACAAGCAATTTTAGTCAGTCAGCACAGTACTATCCATGTTCTGTAGGGAGAAGTGAGTGTGATGTTGAGTTATCATTGTTGCCATGGCAGCCTGGTTTATCAACAAGTTCTTTCTTGAACTTCCATCCAGATTGACATCTTTTGTAGCTAATTTGCATAAAGATGAGTAGACTCAGAAGCAATAGAGTGCTGCTAGCCAATACAAATGAGAGATTGTAGTTGGAGGTGATGTCATATATCAATCCTACAATAAAAAACATACAGAAAGGATCAATGAGGCAAATAACCTTCTTTAAAGGATGGTGGTTTTCAAGGAGCACATGTTTAAATTTCATGTACTAACGAACATTGTATTTTACACGCATTGTATATATCAATATGTGTCCCATGTCGAACACAGCGCAGCGCTACAACCACCATCTTTCAAATACATCCATCATCTCATTTGCAATTGCTAACTAAAAATATATTTTAATTCTGAAATAATATAATAAAATAATAATGAAATAATACAATTTTAAAATCTAAATCTGGTACTACAATTTAAGTTCTGTTATATGTGAACATTACATGCATAATACTAATAATAATATTAGCATATTGTTATTACAAACCAAAAAATATTTAACTTGTTTCTTCTTGGCAAATATCAATCTAAATATTGTATATTGCTGCATTCAACAAGTATATCTACAAGGATTAGAACTCAACATGGAATTAAAACTAACCTGGTGTCTGTATGTTTCACAAATTTATATTATTTACCTGCTGTAGGTGGTCCAAATATATTACCAATGCTGCTACAAGTCAGAAACCAGCCAAATGCGCTTGACAGATCTTCTTTACCAAAACATGCTTTCATACAAACTGCACCATGAAGGGGAATTGCTGTACCACTGGATATACCATAAATGGCAGCTATGAAGGCCAGTACTAAGTAGTTGCTATTGGCAACAAGTATAAACATTAGTGATACTCCTGCCAAAAGCCAGGCACATGATGTGATGAACATTGGAGAAAATAACCCAGTATCAACAAACAAACCATGTGTTGCTCTTCCAATTAATGAGCACACTCCCATGATTGTCATTAGAATTGCAGAATCCATTTTTGCTGTTCCAACAGATACCGCTTTGGCTACAAAATGAAACATGGTTGTATTATGACCTATCCCAGCCAGAAAGCCTGAAATACATAGAACATGGAACCATGATTTTTTAAACAAATGTAATCCCATAATTTTGCTAAGCGTAATTTCAAATTTATTTAACCTTTCCACGTTTAATGAGACCATGGTATTCTGGGCAGTTTCACAACACTCTGCAGTGGCTTGACTGACATCCAAGTTTTGTATGTTGTTTGTTTCCTCCAATTCATTATTCTTAAATGTTTCCACAGTCTCGAAACTAATTTTTCCAGGATCCACTGTACTGTATTGTTGCGTAATGTTCACTAGTGTCTCATCTATTGGTTCAGGATAATATTTTAGTGGTGACCTCATTAACATTCCACATACAACCAAATTCATGTTAATTCCCGCCATTACAAGCATAGCCCCTCTCCATCCATACTTATCAATTAATATCTGATACAGAAGTGGGAATGTCATTACACCGACGGCAACACCTGATTGTGCAATTCCATTAGCTAGGGCGTGACGTTTATGGAAATAACGTCCTACCAGAATAATACTTGGCCCATAAATCAATCCATATCCAATTCCTACAGATAAAAATAAACATCCCCTGAATGAAAAGAGTTACTAAAAAAATGAAAATTCACCAAAAAAATACCATTGGGAAAAATAAAAAACCTGTAAATGTACAAAATATTATTAACCTATTGTATATTAAGCATTACTAATTTCTGTAAAATACAACATCTTTGAATTGCACATTTAACAAGCGAGACCAGAAAATTAAAAAAAAAAAATATTCTTGCTGATCACAAAAGATATGCTTGTTTCGAACAACAATGTTTGTGAATCAACTTCTGCGTGAAACATTGCCACTTCTATTTCATAGTAAATAAATTATTATCAATATGAAAATAAATAAATAGCAACAGGATATTTGTAACGAGGCAAATAATAGGCCTGAATGTACATTTTTCAACTGTGGCATGTCCCCTTTTTCGAATGTGACCCTACTTTAATACACAATTGTACATGATTGGCTCCCAAACCCTAAGACCTGACAGTCAGACCAATCAAAATGTCTATTTAGCTGCCCTCTCATTGTAGATGACAGAGCAGAGCTGTTCATATAGGTGATTGCCCGTCTTGTTCCATCCATCGTCTGTCAACAATTGCACTTTCGACTCAATTGCTTTGATACTTGGTATACAGGTACCTTGGGTGGACCTCTGTCATATTTGTTGAAAATTTGTTTTGGAATTTTTGGTGAAAACAAGCTATATTGAACACTACCAACCTGATTGCATTAGAATTTGAGGTGTACATTATTTTTTTCAACAGTTTTTTTGTCGGACAGCAGAGATATTTCCATCTATTAATTCAGGTATATATAAAGACTGCTCTTAATTTGTGATTTCTATTTTTTACTCACTACCTCATTGCTGTTTGGCTACTCTAACCTTAACACCACCAGTGTTCTCTTTTCATCACACAATCACAAAATAGTCCTGTTTATATTCTACAATTTCCTTCAGAATATTGGAACAAAAATAGCCAAATCCTTTTGAGTAAAACTGAAAATTTTGCCTGTGGACTCCAAATTTAGGGTTCACTTCCAGAAATATTAAAAAATATCACTGGTAGCATAGTGGTTGTTGCATCAGACTCATGATGACTCAAATCCCACCTTAGGCTGAACATCAAAGGGTCGACCCCTACCCTGGGTGAGTGTGCCACAGACTCAATGGGTTGGCCAATCCCACTGGCCGAGATTCATTCACTAACGAATGTGACTTTGGGGAAACCTTTGTTAAGGTACGCAGGTGCTTGTGTTCGACTGGGCCTGGTAGACACCAGGATAGCGCATTACAAATTGCCATTTGACAGAAAGATGACCACACAGCCCTGTCATGTAGTCCCAAACATGAATATGACTTCTGTGGTAAAATGCACTATGTGTCGTCACTGGCACTTGCAATTTGCACATACAGAAAAAAAAAGTCAGGAGAGACAACAGTGACAAAAAAATATTAAAAAAAAAAAAAAAATAAGAAAAACGGCAGAAAAGTGGTGAAAAGGCTAAAGAGCATCCGGTTTTGCCCTGCACTAAAATCATTTGTTGCTACCATTTATAATGTTCATTTTAATAACTATGTTTTAATAAATGGCATGCCTCCATAACAAACAGGACTTCTGTCTAAAATTTCTTTGAATTTGAATTCTTGTTGAAAGCAACAGCCCTGATTTCCAATATAGATATTGTGTACCGATATGTTCATACACTTGGATAGATCACTATCTGATTGTTCATTTTATGTTGATTTACTTTTTGAATTTTGAATTGTAGCTCCCAGTGAATAGTGAGTAGTGGCCTTTTGAGTGCTGAAAATCCAAATCAAGCTTCTTTGAAAAATATTTCCTTTAAACTTGATATGCCCATTCAACATAATGGGTCCTTAATGCACATTATTTTTTCCCCAGATTTTATTCAAAATTTCAGACTGTTTTTACGAATGCTGTTTTTGGAGCCATGATGCACATGGCTATACTGATTATGTTCAAACCCTACATATATACACTTTTGCACATGCATCTGTTTCAGAATCTGATTCAAGGGGTTTTGTCATTTACAATGAGAATTTTGTATCCCACAATGCCTTGTGCTTACACTCAGTAAAATAGATCACAATTTTAACTGGCACTCAAATTTTTCACTTATCGTAGCTACAGCTGACTGAATTACTCACCTACTAAAACACTGCAATTAAGAAGTAACACATTAATACTGTTGGCAAATGAACTCAATATTAGACCACCACTGGATATTACTCCACCAATAATCACCAATGGTCTGGTGCCAGATTTATTATTCAAGCTGCTGATCAAAGAGGCTGAAAAAACACACCAAAGTATAAATTTTATTGCAAAATGATTAGTCAATTTTAGAAAATGAGCTTTGTTATATTTTTCTTCTAGTTCATGTTTTTTTATCAAAAAGTATACTTTTAATAATATATAGGATTTATATGATATTTTTGATACTACTTAGTTGAATCACTTACGACCATAAAAACAAATTTCATATTTACAAACACCAACAGATTTTCTGAAACAAAATGGACTGTAAGTATTTCTTACCAGGAAATGTCATACAGCCAATTAATATTGATTGGATGAGTGCAGTCCTTCCGGCTCCTTCTCCAAAGTATTCCATGAATTCAACCATGAATACTCCCATACCTGCTAGCAGTCCAAGCATCAAGACATCTACGCAGTGACATGCTAGAACAATAATCCAACCATACCATCCTCCATCTTCTTTGCTAACAAACTTCATCTGTGCCTCAAATCTTTGTGGATTGGTAATTGTTGGTATGTGTACAAGTAAAAATTACTATTGATAATCGTTGTTAAACTAATATATGGATCGAGGTGGATCATTTGAATTAGGGGGGATGAAATCCAGAAAAACAATAATGTAAAATGACTGGCAGCCATTCTGGTCTGCAAAAATACTAAAAAATGTCCACGACCGCTTCTCAGAGATAAACAGAACGATTTCTTTCAAACTTTGTATCATGATCATGTATAGTAGGTTTAATACAGGTACAAGTTGAAACAATGATGGACGACTGGTGCCATTTTGTTTTTTAATTATGTCCTGTTAAAAGTTTTTATATAACTATACTTGTAATACCAATGTCGTAATATGAGGCTGTTATGAGGATACTCAGACTGTATCTTCTCGCCTTGACTGCTGCTGTGCATCGATCGATACTTCTGCTCTTCATGCATACTTTTCGGTATCCTTGTAATAACCTTATTATTATACATCATGGGAATGCCGAAATACAAAAGTTTAGAACAGATTGAGCGAACTTCTTTGTATGGGTTCTGGTCAAACCCTGAGGGTATCTGTGTTATTTTTGCTATTAGAGGACGCTTACGCACTTATTTGTTCCGTATTTGGAATTCACGTTTCCTTATATGGTTGGATGAAAATACCCCGTAAAATACCGCTAAATTACGACACGCTGTAACTTATGGCGTTGCGGTGACAGATGTATAATAATAATATTTACCGACTCTGCGAACATTTGACATCAAGTAATAATCTCATTCTATATAATTAGCCAGTATAAACATATACTTCTTCTTTTTATGTAAATTCAGCATCACATCACATCACAATTAATTACCCATACGTGGTGAAGTGAAGTCTGCATATGCGTGTGTATAATAGCAGAGCAGAAATTAGGTATCCAGAAATGTACACCTTAACCTTCAGCAGAATGTAAACTAGCTTATTTTTGACAACTCACTGGTGTCAAGTTGGCTTGAGGCCCACTATGTTTACAAAGCCTCCAATTATAAACAAACCAAATGCATCATAAATATAGTCATAACTCAATTGAAGCATTCACAAAATATCCCTACCTTGTTAACTAAATTTGCGTTTCAATAATTGAAACACTGGCAATATAGCTGTGAATGTACTTTGTACTATGTGTCAGTACACTATGACATGCATTTGTGATGAATGCCACCAAGTGTACACAAATACCTTACAGCGATTAAAACTATTCTGGTGATTAAGTATTGATTTGTTGTATGATACTGTTTTTCTACATTTTTAGCTTGCCCATAATGATATTGAAGTGGCTACCATGTCTGCCGTCAGTGTTAACAATATTTGGTATATCTAATTTTTGACTCCTGTGTGTGAAGCACACAATGGGAGTCTTTGCAGTTACCCTGTCTGGGTGTGTGTGTGTGTGTGTGTGTGCGGTGTGTGTGTGTGTCCGTCTGTTCCACTGATATCTCAAGAACCATACATTGTTTTTTGATGAAACTTGGTGCATAGATGCTCTTGGCCAAGAGCAGATTTGATTAGGTTTTGGTAGAAATCCATGCATATTAATTACCTAATTTGCATGATAATTAGCTCATTTTTAGCTGTTCCATGACTGTTCCACTGATATCTAAAGAACCACTCATTGGATTTTGATGAAACTTGGTTCATAGATGCTCTAAACTAATGCCAGCTTTGATTAGTTTTGGGTGAAAATGTGTGCATATTAATTACCTAATTTGCATAATGATTAGTAAATTTTCAGCTTTTAATTCCACTGATATCTCAACTACTAATCATCATATTTCCATAAAACTTGGTACCTAGATGTCATAGGACACTGCACAGACCTAGTAGTTTTTTGGGTAATATCAGTACATATTAATTACCTAATTTGCATAATAAATTAATTTTAATTATAATAAAATTAGCTTTTGATATTTCAAGTAGTAAGCATTACATTTCAATGAAACATGGTACATAGATACTCAAGGACTATCAGAGATCAATTGTTTTGGGATAAATATTGTGCATATTAATCACCTAATTTGCATAAGTAGTTAATTTTCACATTCACTGCCTTACATGTACTAGTAAGTGCTATTGAGTACCAACTTTAGTTCTTCCTTCTGGACTCTGTGTCATCAAAAAACTCGTACCAAAGCAGCTTAGTACACATTTAAGCAGACTGATCTCTCAGGTTGAACCGAAAGGAACTAAATTAAGTGATCTCGTATTTTATTATAGTGCTATACTTTTAGGGAAAAAAATGAATTTAGGCAAACAGATAAAAATGGTTGTAATAAACTGAATGCATTAAATGGAAACAAAGCTAATATTAAAAATTTAACAATAGAATCGTAATGTTACTTTCACAAATTAGTGAAATCAAAACCAAGTATATATATACTTGCAATGTCAAATCTGCTCAAAATTACACCCAGTCAATATTTCACGGTCACGTGAGTTTACTACATCACCTACCAGAAAGTCTGTGGAAATAATAAATTCCATTTCTTACTCATTAGGCTTAATTACAGATTACAGCCCCGAACAGGAACTATTAGGGAAAATAGGGTAGCATTCCCTATAGAAAAAAAAGCCTCTCCTGAGGGGTCACCCTCAGGGCAATCCGCGCGCGAGACCTGGTGCAGATCAGTTTTTCAGCTCCGCTGCTACGCATGACAGGTTACAGTCAGATAGTCTAGTTCCTCAGAAAAGAGTCAAATAGTCACTTCTGGTTTAATTTCAATCCAATATACGGCTGCCAAACCAGTGAACCAATTAATATTTCAAAAGTCAGGTGCACTAGTAATAGCTCCTATTAGCATAAAAAGTTTAGATTCCATGAAAACAATGTAAATAATACAGATTCAAACTTTTGTTCCATAATTTTTATGCTTGTACTTATGCTTATGTTCTATTTTGGTCTCATCTCCATGGGAACCATGTTTATTTTTAGCCTTCTTTGTTCTTTTCCTGGACTGACATCTTTTGCTAGCTATTTGCATAAACATGAGAAGTGCTGCGCCCATCAATGTACATCCAGCAAGTACAAATGAAAGGTTGTAGTTAGACGTGGAGTCGTATATGAAACCTGTAAAACAAATGGTCATGTATTGTAATTTTTTGCAACAAAAACAATACGGTCACATTTAAAACATGCGGACATTTTCCTTATTTGGAAAATGTGCTTGGATATTTACATCACATTCAAATACTTGTCTTTGCTTACATAGGATGCATCAATAATTTTTATTCTGATGGAAATAGTCATGTTACAGAGTGCTAACATAGATTTAAATCACTCACTAAATTATAACCACAATCAAGAAACTCTATCACCATAAAGTATGAACTCAGGCGGTACAGAATTGCATTAACCTCAAATGTGATATAGTTATGTCACTGAATGTCAATGTAGGCTTGAATCACTCACTAACCAACCCACAAAAATGGAAATAGGGTAAAAGCCATTCACCCATGCAGTTTTCATTATTAATGATGTCGCCTTTTATATATTCTTGATGAGTCAACAAGTTCCAAATAAGACTCCAATGAAATAAATACTGTGTATTAAGACATGCACAATGGAAATACAATATCCGACGACATACATAAAAAATTAGGTGGCGCATTACAATTATCTAAAAATAACTACTGTAGTAGCATTTAAATACTGTCAATAGTTTTAAAACATACATATGACTTAAATATGTCATCAGAAATGTAATCGCATAAAGCCAGCACCCTTGGAAAGACGGAAAACAAAACTTCCTGATACCTAAATTTGATCTTGGTTTCAAAAACAGCGCCCTCAACTGTCTAACTGGTGCATAAAATGTAATTGAATCATTTGTTTTCATTTTGAGAGCATTCCCAATCCATGAAATAAGAAGTAAACCTGTTTGAATACAAAATGTAGTTACAGTTTTTACCTGCTAGCGGAGGTCCAATTCCATTGCCCAAACCATTTCCAACTAAATACCATCCAAATGCACTAGATAGATCATGGGTCCCAACAGTTTCCTTTATGCAGACTGCTCCATGCAGAGGTAGACCAATACCATTGCAAACACCGTATAATGCTGCGATCAGTGCATACACGAAATAGTTGCTATTGGCAATGACTATAAATATAACAGACACGCCGGCAGTGAACCACGCACATGCCGCAATGAACATTGGAGTAAAGTGACGCAAGTCAACAAAGCGGCCATGTGTAATCCTCACAACAATTGTACTAAGTCCCATAATAGTCAAAAGAAAAGCTGCTTGTAGTTTATCAATACCGACGGATACCACTTTAGAGACGTAATGGACCATGGAAATGAGATCCCCAACCCCGATTAGAAAAGCTGTGAAGCACAGAGTTCTGAACCAAGAATTTTTAAATAAGTGCAATCCAAGCAGTTCGCTGATTATCGTTGTCACGTATTTTATATCTCTCGTTACCATGTGGTATTCGGAGGACTGAGGTTCATCTCTGCATTGTTTGTAGTCTGATTCCATCCCTTCTGCTGGCAGTCTGCCATTCTCACATAAGTCCACAAGTTGATACTTTGTAACATTTCCTGATTTCACGTTTTTTGGCTCAGGATCATATTTCGGTGGCGGCCTCATTAACATTCCGCATACACAGATATTCATATTAATTCCCGCCATTACAAGCATTGCCCCTCTCCATCCATACGTATCTATTAATATCTGATATAGAGGTGGAAGCGTCATTATACCCACACCCACACCGGCGTAGACGATGCCGTTGGTCAATGCATGTTGTTTGTGGAAGTACTGTCCCACTATCACAATACTTGGTCCATATGCAAACCCAAATCCAATGCCTGTAGTTGAAAAAGATAGCACGTTTTTATAGCTTTTATGAAATGAAAAAATATAGAATATAGTTGATTCATTTAAATATAACAACACATTTAAATATAATAACATATATTATTAAGTTATCATGAGAATAGCGCAAAGTTTGTGTGAAGGTAGTATAGTGATTGTGTTGACTGGCACATAGCAGAGGTTGATGCAATCCAGTACTGCCTTTGTGCATGCTTTGCGGTATCCTTATAATAACCACATTATTATAAATTTTTTCTCTGTAGTAAGGCAAATATAAAAAAAATTGCAGGTTTCAACAATTTATCAACAGAAGGTGCTGTGCAGAGGCCTAATAAGTAAAAAGAATTGGCCCACACTGACTAGGAACACAACTTTTTTTTGGCATAATAATTGAATGAAAGAAGCAACAACAACTAGTGTTTTGTGATGTGCAAACATTTATGCTTATTCCTGTCATACATTGTAGCACTTCTGCACAAAGGCTGTACGGCTAGCAGAGGGTTTCTTATTATTATACATAATTTTTCTGCTTGTAGTAATAATTTATTGAAAGATAACAGCAACCAAAGATGTCTTTACACTGTGAAATGTTTGCTTTCACTGACAGGATTCTATTCCCATCATGCACTATATCGTCTTTGCATCCAATATAAACAAAAGTAAGTGTTCAAATCTAAGGTCAATTATCTTGAATGAATCAATGTAATTTACACCAAATATGGCAAAAATTTGATCGTTCAAATGAAACAAAGGCAGATATTGCTTTTTTCAAAACATTAATTTCAAATATTTTCAGTGCTATTTTGCGATTAGTAAATTGTAGAAAACAGTGCATGTTTTCATAAGCATGTATTCAAATGTTAGCACAAAAGGCATTTTATATGAGTACATATAACGAAATCAAAAATACAGCTCATAGTCTTTCAAGTCTTACCTACTATAATGCTGTAACTAACGAGTAACACATTAATACTGTTGGCAAATGAACTCAATATTAGACCACCACTGGATAACACACCACCAATAATAACCAATGGTCTGGTGCCAAATTTATTATTCAAGCTGCTGATCAAAGGAGCTAAAAAATAAAATATTTATTTCTCAAGCAAACTGTGTGCAGCCCCTCACAAAGTGATGCAGCGCCCCCAATCAACCTTTGCGAAAAATCTTTTTTTTTACATTAATTTTTTCATTAAGATATTCAGCTTCATTGTAATTTATTCTCATAATTTATTCTATTATGTTGATTTAATTCACTAATTTGGTAGTATAGCAGTATTGATTCTGAGATTTTGCACAAGTTGTGAAACCATTTAATTTTGTTGTTTGCCGATGTTGTTTGTTCCTCTTTATATTAACTTTTGTAAAACAATGAATTCTAATTTGTTTTTAACTCACTGATTTGAAAGTAGAACTTATAGTAAGTTTTATTAAATGGGAATATATTCCACGTCCCAGCATTATAGAATGTAGAAGTAAACTTTTGCAGTAAAAGTAAAAAAAAATTAAAAGCAGGGCTATTTACTCAGAACCATATAGTAAATAATATGATCACGTTACAAATTCAACTGAATTACCCAAACTAGTACTAGAAATATTGAAAATATGGACTAGTTTTATTAATATCCCCTCTAAATATGGCATTCTGTTCTTTCGAAACCAGTTGGTTGTCAAATACTTCTCACAAGTAAAACCCTTGATTATTCTGAAATATTTGTTTTTTTTATCATTACATTTGAAAATGGGATATTAAAATTTTAATTTCAAATGTGTGCTCAAGTCAACAACGAAAGTAAAAAAAATGCATGTGGCCAATTGTTTTTGAGTATTTTTTAAACACCCCATCCACCCACCCCTAATAAAGAAGATTTCCAGATGCACACTTTTTGGGTAGGCAGGTAAAAAAAAGAAGAGAAATTGTCAGACTGCCAGTTTGATTCTTGCAACAGACTTGAATAGTTTTGCAGGTTTTTTTCTAGAAAAAAACTGCAAGAGGGAGCACTGCAATTCAGCGGCACCACTAAGTGCAGGAGATAGGGTTCTCCCTACCAGGGTATGGAGTTTTTGATAATTCTAAGTTAAAATCGAGCATTCTATGGCTTCCTTGGGGCCAAAAATACTATCAGACAGGTCACAGTTGAAGACTGTGGCCACATGTGATCCCTGGTCAATCAGAATTTTATGGTTGCCAGAGGATCTGCTCCCCAGGGTAAGTGGGCGCATGGCCATGCCATGAGCATGCTGTGCCCCTATTCCCTTGTTTAAAAAAAATCCCTGTGTGTAGAACGACATTCAATGCACAATTTGTCTTTCAGTATTAAGCCAGATTCAAACAGAAACTTGCTTCATGAATCTTTCAAGAAAAAATCCAAGAGCAGCGAGGGATTTAAATTTATTCACAGAGAAAAGACTAGAATTTATCAAAATGAGAATATTATTCTCAAAATCTTGTTGTACTAGTATGTATAAACTCAGATCTTGCAACTGTGCCACCAATGAGCAAAATGTTCAGAACATGTGGCAAACCTGTGGAGTCAGCAAATTGTTAGGCATGGCATTATGTTGTTTTTTTGACTGTCCTACCAACCTACTTTCTGTTGAGCTGTGACATAAAGAAACTGTATATTAACTGTATAATAGTTTGACAAATGGAAATCTCAATAAAACAATAAAAAACATACTATAAGAGGCATTGTATACAAATTAGTTTTTATGACATCTCTACAAGTAAATGGGAAGACAAATAAAAGCCAAGTACCTTGTACTTGGGTTTTAGCATTTTTACTAGGACATGGGGGTGATGGGTTATTTGGTATTAGTGCAACACCAAGTTTTTTGTAAAATAGAACCTATTAATATAAGACTCGACCTATGATCATAGAATGTTGATTTACTGAAAAATCATATGAAATTTACATAATAATATCAAAAGGCTTTCTGTTTCCATATGTGATAACACATATGAGCTTATAATAATACAAAAATACTGATAAATTATGAATCCACTATGTACATTGATATAACAGTTATATTACTAGTGGATCTTTTATTTTTAAATATATTTTTTTTTTACCTGGGCATGACATCATTCCAGCTTGTAAAGATTGAATTATGGCTGTCTTTCCTGCACCTTCACCAAAATACTCCATGAATTCCACCAGAAACACGCCCATGCCGATTTCACATCCTATTATAAGCACCTGGATGAAATGACTCGCTAAAACCACCATCCAACCATACCATCCCCCGTCTTCTTTACTGATCAACTTCATAATGTGTCTTGATGACTGGAGGCAAAAAGATGGCTTGTTTCCACCACGCTTGTCCTGAATTATTGAAACACAAATCTTGATAATGTGTAAAAACAATAAAACCTAACCAGATTGAACTACATTATAAGAGGTGATCAATATACATTAACCTTTTTACCACCAGACTATCTCGCATAATTTTTCTGCACTTTTTTATCGTATAATGTTCAATATTTCTAGGAATTAGAGCCAATTGACAATATTTGATTCAATTTTCAGTTTTTACTCACAAATTTTGGCTATTTTTGTTCGAATATTCTGAAGGAAAGTGAAGATTATAAACGGGACTATTTTGTAACCTTGAGCTGAAAAGAAGGAACTGGTGGTAAACAGGTATCTTTTTAACATCTGCTGTACCTCCCATCCCATTTAGAATCACGATAAGGCTGGCAAAATTAGTAAAAAAAAGTTGCACTTCATGAAAATTACAAAAACTTACTATCCAGCAGTCAGTCAAAATGATGATAAAAACAAATAAAGTACAAAATATCCACCACCTTCAACTATTCCTCCTCGCCGATCAACAATATTATCACAGACAAGTTATACATTCAGTAATTCTTCATTTCGTTGTGGCAGGTCTACGCATCTATTTACCCAGCTGGTAGGCGACTGATTACAGCAGAGTAAATCATCACAACAACCTGTTTTGTTTTTTCTTTTCCCCCTATGTCATGTGACTTAATTATTGAAGTGACCTAGTATTACGTACCCCAATTATAATGTACTGGTAATAGACTTACTTTGTTTAATCCCGGTCTCTCTCTATTACTCGTAGGTGGTTATAACCACAGTACCGTAGACGTGCGTTTTGTCCTTTGTTAATGACTTGGTGTATCTGATACCTGGATGACATACATGACCCGCTCTTGACACCTTGACCACTTTAAAAGTGCTGATATTGGGCTTAATTATTCACTTGGTTTATATTATCGTACATGTATATATAAAGTTTAATAACCTCAGAGTATTGTTCTTTTCACAAACCAGTGAATTTAAAACCTACTAAATATCAAATCTGCTGAAATTAAACCTTATAAATATTTCAACTTTAACACTGTGTATATTCAGTGAGCTTCATAAGGCACCTCCTACTAATATGTACCTAATAGCAAAACCTGTCTAAACTGAACAGCAATCTGGACTAAGGTGTTCAGTTTATGGAGGTTTTACAGCAGTTAATATACCTGCATATTCTTGGTACCAAATTTATTTCTTTAGTCTTTTAAGGATGAAAACCTCTATGAACCAAATAACATTCATCAAAAATGTGGCATTTACAATTTGCATATCAATCAAAGTATAAACGCTTATAATTTGCATAAAAACAAAGTACACATTAATTCAAGTCATACACCGACAATTACAGTCTTATGCAAATTGCATTTGTATAATGCAACGTTTCAATATAAAATTAATACATGTAGGATTCACATTGTATTCGTATTCTGCATCCGATATATCACTGAGTAGTTGGTTCTGTCTGGCAACCTATCAGATGCAGTAGATACAACAGTTACAACAAATTTGTCCATGGATTTTTTCAGTTCAATGCTTTGTTCTAGATTTGAATATTGATGTTTATACACTGACTGGAGTAATCTTTCAATTTTATTATTTTTTTGTAGTATAAGTTGTTAATTGCATCTCGCTGTCGTGTGTTGTGTTGTAATTACATCTCGTTGTCGTGTGTTGTAAACACACTCCAAGTCCTGCAGTTAACTATGCTATTATAGCTACAAAAGCTGACTTGTCTAGAGTTAAGGAAATAGCTACAAGTTTTTAAACACTAAAGCTACATTATATCATTATATATATATATAATATGATCTAATACACTCTTCCCCTCATTCAAATGATGCATTGTAGCATGCCAATTAGTGAGTAATAAAACTAAACTTGTGGTGTCATTAATAGTAGCACAGAACTTCCAGCCATGTGTGTCATTATCAGTAGTACATGTATTACGAGTATACAATTTTGTAAACCATCAATTGACATACTGTAAAAGGGTTAATTATTCACTGGGTTTTAATTTAGCGTATTTTCCAGTCAGCGAAACAAGATAAATATATAAAATTGAGCATAGAGTATATTATCTAAATGATGAAACCATGAATTCAAAACCCAATGAATATGCCTGAAATGCTAAATCAGCGAAATTTAAACCAAGTGCAAATGAGTCATTTTACAGTGGTTGAATAATGTAATGTGCATACTTTTTATATGTGTTTATGGGACCCATATTGAACATACATCAATCCCTACAGATTCAAGGAACATATTTCTTTACTTATTGAAAAAATCATATTTCACAGGCTAGATGACTGTATTTGGTATGTGTGTATGTGATGAAAAGCAAGGCTGTGACAGTTTAACTATGTTTTGAGTGTACTCTATACTCCCTTTGAGAATGACTGCACATCCTCGTATCACTGATAACAGAATACCATACTAGATAACCTGGTAACCATTATCTCCTGCATATTTGCCTATCTCTTCAGATGGCATGTGTGTATCTGTACCAGTGCTGTCATTCACCGTGCAATATGTTATATATTACCTCATTTCTTGCATCAATGTCTGTAAACAATTGCAGATTTATTGTCTGTAAACAAGTGACTAACGTATGTTATGGATATTATTGTGAGATGGGTCTTTTTTGTTAAGAACATGGTCATTCTGTTCTTATCAGGTGATTGTATGTTTTGAAGGTATTCAGATAAACTGAAAGCCATTCAACTTGCAACAAGCGATATGCCAGCCACAATATCTTTATGCTAATGACTGTTACAGTTGTGTCAGTTTGTTTTGACATGTCATGCAGTAAAGGCATACATTTGTTCTCAGGTGCACTAAACTGTATAAACAAAACAGTAAATGCAAAGAGAAATCTGTATTTTGTTTATATTGACAAGGCAGCTACTTGGATATACATTGACATACGGTGAATGAACTATGTTCAGTGTATGCTTGATGTCTTTCACCAGTAATTAACTAGTAAATAAAAGTGAAAAAATTATCGTAGCTTTGTTATTCAATAATGTCAAACAAACAATGATACTTGAAAAACTTGAAAAAGTTTCAAAAGGATTACATGTTGAAGCATTATTCCACAAAAATATATATGCCTAGTATTGGTCAGAATTTCCTAATAATTCTTGACAATATAAGTACCTGTTTTATTACAACATACGATTTTATTCACCATATGTATTCTCTTGAGATATTGTGAGGGCTTTTTGCAATAGAAACTGATGGCTCAAAAGTCATCATTTTCATGCACATTCACCCATGTTTTGTGCAAAATGGAATTTAGTGACCATAATTTTATATTTGGGTTTTAAAACTCAAATAAATCTGAACATTTGTTTTAATAGTAGCTGACAGTCAAACACTGCTGGGCTTGACCTTGATAGTTCTGGTTCCATTACAAGCATTAAGCATTGCAACAACCACCAAAAAAAAAGGTAAAAGACTGATAAATCTGTGTGTTTTGTTTACAAACCCGTGTTTTACTGGCCAGAATTTTATTACATACATGTAGTTTCTACAAATTAAAACGATATTTAATCTTTGTATTCCTTTTTCTTGGTGAAATTGCCCAAAACACCAACATTGTCATCTAGTGCTGTGAGACCCAAGACAGTAGAGGGCGCCCTACTAGAGAATGGCCTTGTATCACAATTCCATCTATAATTGTGTTTTATTCTACACACTGTTCAAATACATATTAATTTTAATTTTAGCATTTACAATCAAACAAAGCTAGTATTTTCAATATATATTTATACCGATATATATAAATTTTATTTAATGTACAAGATTTCAATGGAAGGTCAAAATCTTGATAACTTTACAGCCTGCTGTAGTGAAAAAAAAAAACATTTATTCAAAAACCACAAGTATATGACTTTTTTTTTTTTTTTGAATAATTTGTTTTTGTCAATTCTTTTTGAATTTTGTTCTATGAGAAAAAGGAAATGAGAGATCACTTTGATTGTCGGTTTGTTGAGAATTCAAATTTCTCTGCAATTCTACAATTTGCATTTAAAGAAAAACTTCTTCAGAGGTTTCATGACTTGAGCCAATATTTTTCACTTTCGTCTCCTTATCGTCAAGCCTTGTTCTGTTCTCTTCAGATGTCATCTTTTTGTAGCACATGTATATGTAATTTAACACTCCTGCTGCTCCCATCACACCACCAGCAATGGAAAATGCCAAATTAAAATTTGAAGTCTTGTCATACATCCAACCTAGCATTGAAACAAAAAAATTATATCATTAGCATTAATATATAATGTATATTTTTGCTCGTAAATGGAACATAAATGAAGTCATACAGGTTTTCTGTAGTTACCTATAACAATAGCAACAGATAAAATACATCTTTTGTCATTGGACACCCCTATATATGAATGGTTTATCCCTTGAACAGGTTGTTATAAGAAATGAATCTCATGGCATTGGATACCCCTATATATGAATGGTTTATCCCTTGAACAGGTGGTTATGAGAAATGAATCTCATGTCATTGGATACCCCTATATATGAATGGTTTATCCCTTGAACAGGTTGTTATAAGAAATGAATCTTATGTCATTGGATACCCCTATGTATGAATGGTTTATCCCTTGAACAGATGGTTATAAGAAATTAATCTCATGGCATTGGATACCCCTATATATGAATGGTTTATCCCTTGAACAGGTTGTTATAAGAAATGAATCTCATGTCATTGGATACCCCTATGTATGAATGGTTTATCCTTTGAACAGGTCGTTATGAGAAATGAATCTTATGTCATTGGATACCCCTATATTTGAATGGTTTATCCCTTGAACAGGTGGTTATAAGAAATATATCTCATGTCATTGGACACCCCTATATATGAATGGTTTATCCCTTGAACAGGTGGTTATAAGAAATGAATCTCATGTCATTGGATACCCCTATGTATGAATGCTTTATCCCTTGGACAGGTGCTTATAAGAAATGAATCTCATGTCATTGGATACCCCTATATATGAATGGTTTGTCCCTTGAACAGGTGGTTATAAGAAATGAATCTCATGGCATTGGATACCCCTATGTATGAATGGTTTATCCCTTGAACAGGTGGTTATAAGAAATGAATCTCATGTCATTGGATACTCCTATATATGAATGGTTTATCCCTTGTACAGATGGTTATAAGAAATACATCTCATGTCATTGGATACCCCTATATATGAATGGTTTATCCCTTGAACAGGTGGTTATAAGAAATACATCTCATGTCATTGGACACCCCTATATATGAATGGTTTATCCCTTGAACAGGTGGTTATAAGAAATGAATCTCATGTCATTGGATACCCCTATGTATGAATGGTTTATCCCTTGAACAGGTGGTTATAAGAAAGGACCTCATGTCATTGGACAACCTTATGTATAAATGGTTTATCCCTTAAATTGAAGGTTCTATAATAGACCTTAAAAATACAGTATTTTTAAGATCTATTCTATTAAATGCATCTTGTGTGATTGGAAACCCCTACATATCAATGTTTATCCTGTGTAGTTACCTGCTACTGGTGGTCCTATTAGACTCCCAAGTCCAAGGTGAAATAAATACCATCCCATTGCACTTGAGAAATACTTCAATTGTACATTAGCTTTCAAACACACTGCACCTAATGCCATGAAGATGCCAGTAGCAAAACCAAATACCCCTACCATGACAGCATAGAGAATGTAGCTGGAGGAAGCCTGTACAAAAATCAGAGATAGTCCTCCTAATATCAAGTTAGCTGCAAACACAGCCATTGGAGGTAAGTGACCCAGGTCAATGAGCCATCCATGCGATGATCGTCCTACGATAGAGCAGACTCCCATTATGGTCATGAGGAAAGAAGCGTTAATTCTCGGTATTCCAACTGACACGGCTTTGGCAATATAAAGTGCCATGGCAACCAGATAGCCAAATCCACTCATGAAAATGCTGATGCACATCACAACGAATGTAGGATTGTCACAGAATAAATGAAGCCCGGTTGTCTCTGTAAACCACCTCCAGTTGTGTGGATTATTCTGCTTTGTATTTTCTACCAATAAACTATCAACTTCCATCTCTGGGTTCTCGATTTTCTTTTCTGCAACACTAGAGGGATTCATTGCATCACTAGGGGGCCTCATAAGAGTTCCACTGACAACTATATTCATGTTGAGTGCACTGATGATCATCATAGCACTTTTCCAGCCATAATAAGTAATCAGTGTCTGGAAGAGTGGTGGAAAAACCATTATTCCAACACTCAGGCCGCACCATGCGAAGCCGTTCGCTAGGGCATGTCGTTTGTGGAAGTACTGTCCCAATATAACAATAGAAGGTTGGTAAGCCAGTCCAACTCCCAAACCTGTTGGTAAAATACAATGCAGATATTTAGTTGGTCTTGATTTTGAAATGAGGCAACAGATGAAATGGTACAAAGGTGGTTGAGATGATAATATATAATATAATATATATTTTTTTGCATGCCCTAGTCATTACACAGTGTTGTGTTCAAAATGAGGGTGGGGGCTTTACAATTCAAACGTCTGTTCAATAACAATAGCAATATATTTTATATATTCTCCCAATATATAATTTTTTATACATTGAAATTGACTAGTGCACAAATGTCTATTCCTAAGTGTGTGGTCTATTAGATTTTAGTTGTTATCAGCTCTGTAAATAAATAATCTACCTCTGAGTTTGAAAAGCATGAGATGAAGGTAAATACCATTTTCTTTTAATTCAGAATTGATTTTAATTCAAAGGTGTTGACCATTAAAAACTTGGGGGCAAATAAAGAATTGGAAAAAAAAATCATTAAAATTTCATTATATGCCCTCATGCAGCAGAAATTGTATTTCTTTTGTTTTTATTTATGCGTGGTACTACTACAAAATAAACACTAGCATTAACTACATTGTTAGAAGTTGCTGTCTTGATACTGGTGAATTTAAAATTGCATTCTCTACAAATACAGTATTCAGATGTGTAATGCATGAATAATTTTTTTTTTTATTGAATTTTGATATTTGATGACAGTTGCTTGGGTTTTTAATTCACAGATTCTCCAGTGGAACAATTGTAATAATCATAATTGTATATGCACTTGTTGACATGGATTTAATTTTAATAGCAGATTACACTTACCAGCAAAAATAGAGAAATTATTATAATAGCGAAAAACAGTGAATATTTAATGATTTACATTTAATTATTCGCAGTAAAAGTTAAAGAACATTGCAGAGAAGCAGAGAAACCCTTTACCTAATTAAAGGGTGGTGGTCATTGCACAGCGCATGTTCGAATTTCATGTAAACAGTGTATTTTACACATGTTTTGTATGTTGCTATGAGTCTGATATCGAACAGGATGCGGCCGATGACCATCACAGTTTACCTAATTAAAGGGTGGTGGTCATTGCACAGCTCATGTTCGAATTTCATGTAAACAGTGTATTTTACACTTGTTTTGTATGTTGCTATAAGTCTGATATCAAACAAAATGCGGCCGATGACCATCACCGTTTACCTAATTAAAGGGTGGTGGTCATTGCACAGCTCATGTTCGAATTTCATGTAAACAGTGTATTTTACACTTGTTTTGTATGTTGCTATAAGTCTGATATCAAACAAAATGCGGCCGATGACCATCACCGTTTACCTAATTAAAGGGTGGTGGTCATTGCACCGCTCATGTTCAAATTCCATGTAAACAGTGTTTTTTACATAGGTTTTCTATGTCGCTATTAGTCTGATATCAAAGATGATGTGGCACAATGACCATCACCCTTTAACCAAAGCTACTTGACTGAATGCAATATGATGATTTTGATTATTCTCATCACTCACCTGTTATAAGTCCATAACTAATGTACAAATAAGTGATTCCTGTCGCATATGAACTTGCAAATATTGCAGTACTGGATATAATACCTCCTGCTATAACTGTTGGTCTGATACCATATTTGTTACTCATAGCACTGGCAATAGGCCCTTGAAAATAAAGATGATAATTTAAATGTATAATAAAAATGTAGTTCATGTAGAGAGAAGGGTGTGCTGTTAGAGGAGGGATGAGGGATGAGGGAGGGGCGAGTTAAAAATTAATGAATGAAAAAAAGAAATTAAATGACCAAATAAATATGTAAATAGATGAATGGGGCAATAAATGTTAAACAAATATTTGATAAATATTATTTTTAGCATTTAGTTATATTAGTTATTCATCACATGATTCTTTTCAGGCATTTTTTTATTACATTTTTGATTTTTCCCATTTTGATAATTTTCAACCAGTATATGATTGTGTTTTTTTTTCAACAGTTTTTGATTACATTTGTTGTGTGTCTTGCGTGAACTTTTTTTGTTTTGAACATTTTGTTGTTTGTTTTAACTGATCATTAAAGTTTCTGCATATAACTCCCCAGTCATGATCATACCGGTACTTTGTCGTTGTCATCAATATATATTTCCTAAGCTTCAAATCTGTGGTCTGCTGTTTCACAAATAAGTACAATCCAACTTGGCGATCTTCCAGGTTACAGACTAGTTAGTCAGCAATATTACTCCCTGGTACATCGTTAAAACTTAGTATTCTCCTGCAAAATGTTATAACATACCCTGCTTTATGAATTTCACTGTATATTGGTAATGACTATTTGAAATATTGTAAATTTGAATATTTCCCCAATAAACTGGCAATTTCAGAACCCTGTCAAAGATCTTTTTGCACTTTAATGTCAAATTTAATCAACATTGCCATTTCTAATTCTCCCAACCCCATCTTGGCAACGCACATAATTTGTTTCTCCAACTGTACTGTTTGCCGATTACTCATCGTGAAATGTGTGATACCACTAATAGTGTTACTGCAATGTGTTGCTAAAACTGGAAATAATTGACATCTCAATAAATGAATAATTTTTTTAATCACAGGTGCTGAACTGATGGTAAAACTACATGTTGATGAAATGTATGCAAATGAGGTTGAACATGTTAATATAATTAGAATGCACACACACGCACAGAGGTGGTTTTAATTTACATTGTATATTAAGGAAATAGTTGTAAATCAGATACATGTGATAAATAGAATATCGTAATTCATGATATCAGATTTTTTAAAATTGTGTCATAATTTTCATGTCATGTTTCTCGCCAAAGTCTCAGGTCACTCATAATCTCCCAATGCGATGCATAGTAGGATATTGAAGGCAATGTCCAGCACTATAATAAAATGAATAAACAAGTCATTCACTACTGAACCTACAAACAGTACACAACAATAGCCGTTTTTTAGTTGGACTATGAATTGCCAAATTTACATATTTGAGCTGTAGCGCGATCATGCTATCAAAGTCATCCATGGTCGAAAATGTGAAACAGAAATCATTCTGGAATTTAACGCACAACACTATATTTAGCGATTTTGAATCAAAGCTTGACCAACATCATGTGACAAGTAATTGATTGCTAGGCAAATTTAACAGTCTCTTGGCAGTCTTGTATATAAAGAATTATAACCTGACGGGCAAAGAATTGATTATTTATGACTGCATGGACTTGTTTGTAGGGAATCTAGTTTGATGACATAAAACTCAAAGATGTATTCCCATTTTGTAACTATATGTAAAACATCACTTCCAGAACATGCTTAAAACAAAAATGTGTTCAAATGATATATTAAAAATAGATATCTTGTTCTTACTTTCCCTCGTATTTTATTTTGAGTGTGCTGGAGGGTCTCATCCCATTGACAAACATATCTACAATGTAACTAACCTTCAAGGCCAAACAAAGCCTTCTAACTCAGTAAATATTTGTTTAAATCTAGGTTAGCTTATTTCAGAAGATACTTTTGTTTTTTATTATTTTCCCAGTACTTATCCTTAACTTCAGTCAACATGTAGAATGAAACAGCTAAACTCACCTACACACAGACGTACTGATGCAGACATCGATATCACCAAAGCTGCACGGCTGGCGTTGGAATCAAAATATCGTGTAAATTCTAGTATAAACACACCCATTGATTGGCCACCACCAGCAACCATCATTTGAATGGTAAAGCTAGCAACCACAATAATCCAACCATAACAGCCACCATCTTTGGAGTCACCCATGATCTTTTGCCAACAAGAACACGTTTGATTAATCTATGAATAAGAACATGAATGTCAATCGTTTAACCCTGTATACAAAAACACTGACAATTATGTCATGACTGTGCAGTTTGAAGCATTCCATTCTCAATTATTAACTACTCTAAGGTCACTGACTGAAATTCATAAACAGGAACTACCCATGTAAAATCAGGGGATGGGGACTTGAGGATTTTTTCTTGATAAATAATATTTCCACTACATTTTTTTTATTCACATTTTTCCAATCATTTTTTCCTCAAATTTTTCTTTTCACCCTCAACAATTTATTTTTCATAAAATTATTTAGCCCTCCTCCAATTTTTTGAATGTGGAATTTAGTCAAACATTACAAAAAATCAGCTCATACTAGGGTTAAGTAAAGGTAAAACTCATCTAATATTTAACTCGTACACAAACAAATTAAACATGCCTCCTAATCTTTCACCATATAGAAGTTTTTCAAAAATTTCTTTGATTTATAGTTATGGCTGTATCCAACTGTATTTTCTTAATTCTCTACAAGCAATTTTACGTTGAATCACAAATTTGTTATGCATTTTCAGGGTCGATAGAACCCATATATTCACAGACATGGATTTTTGAAATATGAACAGTGATACATTACAATAATAATTAAGATGAGACATAACTGATAGACAAAATAATTCTGCTGCTTTTGTATGGTAATTCATTTTGTAGTTATTTATAATTTTAGTGTCATTTCTATATATATAATGTATGTTCCTGTAACAGTGAAGCAATTTATTGTCTTGGATGAGAAAGTATGAATTTCTGATCTCAAATCACTACTACACATGAAGTGGAACATGCTTCTGAAATTGACATAATTTGCTCCTGAAATAACCTTTAAATTAGCTTTTGAAATATCTCAACAAAATATATATTAAATGTAGTTCAATAATTATAATATTAACTATATTATTATTATTATTTCTTAGTGATTGTATTGGGTCACACATACATGTATATGCTTGCAAATACTTACCAGTACATCTGTTCAAATTATCTGTTTATCCATTCATGGTCTGTTTTGAATTTCAACTACCAGTACTCCATTTTTATAAATAGCTTTAAAAGTACCATGTGATTATATGCAGTTTCAACATATATGTATATTTTTACACTTCCTATGACATAAATCATATTAGGTTAATGAGGTGTCTGCATGTCTGTCCGTCTGATAATGCATTATAATATGAGCATCTTTATCAGATATTCTAGTGATGTGGACTATATGGATCGACTTTCACTCACACATTTAAAAGGTGATGCAGTGATACTGATGGCTGTCTCTTTTCATTGATCTGCTTGTGAGCATTTACCCCAGTGAAATGAAATGAACTGTACTTGGCAAGTGCAATATGCTTTTGATCAGAGCTATGAATTCCTATGGAGACATTTTTTTTTTTTTTAAATTTTGACTAAAACCCTAAAAAGGCGTCTCTGGTGCATTTCAATTCTTGGCATTACAGTTACTGTAACTGTTGTTATGTTGTGGTATCAATGCAGTTAATATATTTAAAAATTATTAAGATTAAGGTGACATAGTTGTCACAATACACAGACCTTTCCTGTAAAGCTGAGTTCTTGCCTTGTTAGGCAAAATTTTGTCCAGAAGAGCTGAAAAAACTAAAAGCTAAAAATATTATTCACCTAAATTGCAAAATGATTAGTCAATTTTGGCTTTTCCACTGATATCTCAAGTACTAATCATCACATTACAATGAAACTTAGTACATAAATGTCATAGAACAATGCACAGACTTGATAAATTTTGAGGTAATATTTGTGCATATTAATTACCTAGTTTGCATTATGAATGAATCACATTTCAATGAAAATTGGTACATTGATGGTCTGTGACTTTACACAGACCTTATTAGTGTTACATTAAACTCTGCGTAAATTAATTACACAATTTGCATAATGATTTTCCAGTTTTCAGCTTTTCCATCAATATGCCATGTACTTTTGGTATGTAAGACAATGCAACTAATTAGTTTTGAGTTTTTTACTAATTTTTACCTTTCTTTCAAAAACCAATTATTGCATTGCAATAAGACTTGGTATATAAGTGCCTTGGAACAATGCATTAGTTTTGGATTGAAATTTGAGAATACTATTTGCATAATCATCGCATTTCATTTAACTTTGGTTTAGAGATGCTCTTGGGTGATCCACAGATGTGATTAGTTTAACAATGAAAAACAGATTGATACATATTAATTATCTAATTATTATGAGCCAATATTTGGTATCTCAAAAATCAGATTTAAATTGAACTTGTGGTAGAGATGCTGAAAGGCTGAACACCACAGATGTAAAATCAAATCTAATTTCTGTAAGTACCGATTATAAACTTCAATATATGGATCACATTGTTTTCACATTGTACATCTCAAATAGCAGACAAATATTAGCTGCCTAGCTTCTTGTTTGGGAGGCTAATTAATTTTTAATATGTCTTCAATACTCTCAGCTTTCTTTGATGCAAATTTATCTCTCAATGCATTGAAATCACTCCCATAACTCAGTACTTTCAGGAGAGCTATTTATAACTTTCCAGCTATTTTCAAATAGCAAGGCCTGGACACATTGTGTTGGATTTGGATACCATATAATGTATACATTGCATGTAATAAATGGCACTTAAAATTGGAACACTGAAATAAAGAGAAATGTTTTCAATGGAAATCATTTCGCTTGTCAAAATAGTTTACAGATCAAGATTCATGTTATTATTATTACTATAAAGCCATGAATTTTGTTTTTTATCCAGGTCTTTATTTCTCAGATGTCCTAAAGTTTATCAAGATTTGTTGTTGCTATGTGAAAAAAGATTACAAACAGTGTCTGTCATGTAAATTACATCAAACAGATGCATTGTGGGTAATGGCAAAGTACATCAATGGTGAGTTTTAAAATTACTCATTTTTCTCTGGAATGGGGAGTAAGCAAATTCAAAATTTAGTAAAATACATAAATATTGACACACCATACATATTTCCTTAATTTTTATGTAAATTTAGTACCGATAATTTCAATGGCAGTTGAATCAAACCAGCCTATCAACGTAGTGAAGTAATCTGGATTTGAATGTATTAACATTTGGTGCTGTACGAATGTCAGTTGGTAGATGTTGCCATACTGAAGGAGATGAATGAATGAATGAAGTGATGTGGTAGTCATTTTAAAATGTCCCAGTGTTATTCCTTCAGCGTGAACTATGAAATTGATGAATATTTATTAAATTGAAAGAAATCATTATGAGCTTGTTGTTTCAATAGCATTGGGTGTACATGCACGTAACTCATGATGAATACATGTATGTCACTAACATTTAAATTTTCAGTGAATTTAACTAAAAGCTAAAAAGAGACGATCCACATTATAAATGTACACAATTATTAAATGTAAAATGTATCAAGTATTAAAATAAGGTTGGTCAGTTCAGCTTCATGAGAAAAGTTTTAGTGACTGGGATCTTAACATATGAAAAACTATTTTCACTTCTGTCTAAACTTCCCTGAAACCCAAATTCAAATTGAATACCAGAATTTTCACTGGCAACATTTTAGTGCAAAGTTTTGCATCTATTTATGTGCTTTTCTATAAATTCAATTTTAGACCAAAAAGGCATAATTCCCCCACAGGTTTTACACAAAATATGGAATAAAAACACAGGTTTGGCCTTTCAAAAGCTTAATTAAACAATATTTGTTTTGTTTTAGTATATAATGTGTTCAGTTATGGATTGTTACTGTTATCACCAGTGTTGTGACTAGTCTACATTCCATAAACTTATCTTTTCAGGATATCTGTCTTATCAGAATGGTCACTATATCAAATCATTACAAATATTACAAGATACAGAAAGTCATGTGACTTCCTATGAACCAATTATATTAAACCTAAAGGGATGTTGTTTAGCAAAGCAGGTAAGTACACAGTGATGTGAATTAAGCATACAATTCACAAACATTAAATAATGATCTTTTTTTTGACATTTTGAGTTGGACATCTGATAAAAAGGTGATAAGCTGGGACTGTCTATCTTTTTTTGTAAAGCTGGTGGTTACTCATGTCATGGGGTGTATTCTTCACTCGCGTTTGGTTTGTGAACAATACTAGCCCATATGATGTTAATCGTGTCAACCAGTTCTACGAACAAGCGATTTCCTCCAAATTTGAAACTGTTAAGTTCTCTCCCAACTACGTTGATGGGATTTTAGGTAATCGAATAACATTAAAAGGCATTCTGTGTTTAATATGGAACATCAAACAAAAACAGAAAGTGTTATGTTATGATTTGAAATTGTAATGTAATTGAGTTTAATTAAATTCTAGTTAAATCACAACAATGGTAAGACCTCTATATATGTGTGTGTGAGTCTGTTCCACTGAAATCAATGCATATTAATTACCTAATTTCCATATTAACAGACTTTAAGCTTTTTCACTTTTTCTCATGTACTATTAATTTAAAACAGATTTCAATGAAACTAGGTATTTTGTTGGTTTGGGATAATATTTTCGCTGAAGGGATTATTCCGTGAAAATAAAATCCAGCAAATATACTTTTTTTCCTATATTTCACATTAAACTCATCAAAAATCAGTGAAAATAAATTCCAAGCAAAACGCCCAAAAAGCCTTTTTAGCGAAAATTAATTCCAGCGAAAATAAAGTATTCCACTGTACAGTGTAACAGGAATCATATAGGATGTTAAAATATGAATATAATTCCCATAGAATATCACATCTCTTAAAAAGAATTTCGTAGTATGTTATTGTTTTGACATCATATATGACCGAAATGGGATTCATATAGGATATTATTTTTTTTGTATAACATAGGAATTCTGTTCCATTGTGTTCTATGGGATTTCTATGGGAATATATGTTCTAAAAGATCAACTATACATTATTATAGGAGTGTAAGGATGTTGTAGATGAGCTTGTAACACTACATGTGATTACTCTATTATAACTTCATCTATTATTATGTTATTAGATCAAAATTAATTGGGTTTAATTTAATTTATGGATTAACACACTTGTTTATTTTTTTGATACTAGAAGAAACCACAGACAGCAATTCACTGTTATTCTGAGGTAGTACAGAAAGATTTCAGATTTGTCACATCGCTGTACAATATAGCGTTGCAGTATCACACATTACAACTCTATGAGGCTGAGTTGGAAACATGGAATCTCCTCATCAAAGTGAGTATTACAGTCAACTATAGGTGGCGCTGTAGAGTTTTATATATGTAGTGCGCCACCACACTGATTGATAAGGAAATGATGCATTTTAGTTTTGTTTTGAACTTGCCCTCAATTATTTTAAAATATTGGGTCTGTTGAAGGCTAAACAAAAAAAGTGTTAAAAAACACTGGGTAGGTTTGTAGAATTTTTGTTCTAGTTTGCTGCTGGAACATAATCATTCTTGTTTTTCAAAGATGTAAAAAGATAATTTGTCTTCATAATGTATATTCTGGTCAAATTGTTTTTGCTAATTTGCATAAAATGTAATGGATTGGCCACATTTTCCAGTAGGTAAGTTACTGGAAATAATAACTATTCCTTCTTATCCAAAAAGAGATTGTGTCAATTACAGCCTTATGTTTATTTTTATTATATTTCAGGCAATGCAGACAAAAGATTTTCAGAAAAACATGAATAAAAAACACCTTATTATGACAATTAACAATCTTGAAGTGCCGCGCCATTCACACAAGTCAGTAGTGCTGTCTAAATGTACAAATAAGTTGTCTGTCATATCCATATTATATATCATGGCAAAACGATGCTTAGAGCTAGAAAGGTAACCATGTTTTATGTCTTGGATACAATAATTGAACACTGTTAGAATATGTATGAATTAATTTGCTTTGTCGAATTAACAATTAATTCACTAAGCACGATTTATTGAATTTTGTCATGAGGTCAGAATTTTGTTGTAACTTTCAATGACATAGATATGAGGTTGCTGCTGAGAAGTATGTTGATTTGTTAGGAATGACTGTGGATTCCAGTATCCTGCAGGTAATATTAATTTGTCTATTGACATTTTACTTCTTATACTAAATTATTTGTATATTAAACAACCTACTGATGAAACTACTGTTGAAGTATTCATTTTCACAGGGAAACAATGAGTTCTGTTGTAATTTTAATGTGCACATAGATTAATTTAGCGGATTCAATTTATAAGCAAAAATATAAAATCACAACCAAGTGAAAAATTAATGTGTAATTTTACTGTTGTTGAGTCCTTATAAGTAGACAAGAATCTTTGTAGTATGAACATGCTCAGGTATAATGCTAGGATTTATTAAATGGTTCATTGAATTACAAATGTACAGCATTTATGCTAGCCAAGGAATATTAAAATATATTATTTTTCGATATTGATATATATAGGCAATAAATCTCTGAATGAATAATGAGTTACTACTAGCACCATAACTAGAAAAGTGAGTTATAGTGAGTGGAACACTACATAGATTCTAGGCATTACTGGAGTGAGTTATAGTGAGTGGAACATTACATAGATTCTAGGCATTTCTGGAGTGAGTTATAGTGAGTGGAACACTACATAGATTCTAGGCAATACTGGAGTGAGTTATAGTGAGTGCAACACTACATAGATTCTAGGCATTTCTGGAGTGAGTTATAGTGAGTGGAACACTACATAGATTCTAGGCATTAATGGAGTGAGTTATAGTGAGTGCAACACTACATAGATTCTGGGCAATACTGGAGTGAATTATATTGAGTGGAACATTGATTCTTGGCATTGCTGGAGTGAGTTATAGTGAGTGGAACACTACATAGATTCTAGGCATTACTGGAGTGAGTTATAGTGAGTGCAACACTACATAGATTCTAGGCATTGCTGGAGTGAGTTATAGTGAGTGGAACACTACATAGATTCTAGGCATTACTGGAGTGAGTTATAGTGAGTGCAACACTACATAGATTCTAGGCAATACTGGAGTGAGTTATAGTGAGTGGAACACTACATAGATTCTCGGCATTACTGGAGTGAGTTATAGTGAGTGCAACACTACATAGATTCTAGGCAATACTGGAGTGAGTTATAGTGAGTGCAACACTACATAGATTCTAGGCATTACTGAGATGAGTTATAGTGAGTGCAACACTACATAGATTCTCGGCATTACTGGAGTGAGTTATAGTGAGTGCAACACTACATAGATTCTCGGCATTACTGGAGTGAGTTATAGTGAGTGCAACACTACATAGATTCTAGGCATTAATGGAGTGAGTTATAGTGAGTGCAACACTACATAGACTTTAGGCATCACTGGAGTGAGTTATAGTGAGTGGAACAATACATAGATTCTAGGCATTACTGGAGTGAGTTATAGTGAGTGGAACACTACATAGATTCTAGGTAATACTGGAGTGAGTTATAGTGAGTGCAACACTACATAGATGCTCGGCATTACTGGAGTGAGTTATAGTGAGTGGAACACTACATAGATTCTAGACATTAATGGAGTGAGTTATAGTGAGTGGAACACTACATAGATTCCAGACATTAATGGAGTGAGTTATAGTGAGTGGAACACTACATAGATTCTGGGCAATACTGGAGTGAGTTATAGTGAGTGGAACATTGATTCTTGGCATTGCTGGAGTGAGTTATAGTGAGTGGAACACTACATAGATTCTAGGCATTACTGGAGTGAGTTATAGTGAGTGGAACACTACATAGATTCTTGGCATTACTGGAGTGAGTTATATTGAGTGGAACATTGATTCTTGGCATTGCTGGAGTGAGTTATAGTGAGTGGAACACTACATAGATTCTAAGCATTACTAGAGTGAGTTATAGAGAGTGGAACACAACATAGATTCTAGGCATTACTGGAGTGATTTATAGTGAGTGGAACACTACATAGACTTTAGGCATTACTG